AATTTTCAGACTGCCACACGTGCTGTGCGGGGCTGCGCGAAAGCGTCACCTCACCATCCAATCCCATTTTACTTGAATTTTAAGCAAAAAAAGCATGGAAATTAAATGTAAAAATTATGATAAATATTGATCAGTAGAATTGTTGTCATTTTACTTTCGTACCAGTATTTTTGTACACTCCAAAATGGGTCCACATCCGTATGTGCAAAGCAAAACTTACAAGATTTTGAGCCGAAGATTAAAAGAAAAGAAAAGTTAGACAGCATTCTCGATTAAGTAACCTTGATAATCAACTGTTATTTACATATGTAACTATTTTTGTATTAATTGAAGGATTTGATTATGTCTTATACACCACCTTGTTTATTCTGTCAGTTCGTGAATGTAGAAGTTTCAAGAAGAAGCAATGATGACTAAGCGTGTAAGTTCTGCATCCCTACATTGCATTTATTTGTAAAAACTAATGTATTTGTACAACTTAGATGACAAATTGGATGACAATATTATCTGTTGTCAAAAGACTAGTGGCTACAAAACAAATTTATGTGAAAACTGTCCAACGAACGAATATCACGTGACGCGTTGTCAATCATATTGTACATCATGATTGTACACCAACAGGGGCGTACCTTCATAAGGCTCAGTGGCCCCCACTCAATTTTCAGATTTTCAGATTTTTCTTCAAATTTTCAGATTTTTTTAGTTTTTTTTGTCCATATTTTTTTAGGTTTTCAGATTTTTTCCAAGATTTTTTGGTTTCGCCCCACTGAACTTCCTTCATAGATCTACCCCTGTACACCAAGCATGATTGTATCTGTAAAACTCATATAGGCTACTACCGAGTACCAAAACCAATGTCTTTATATATATTTATAGGGCAATTATATGATTTTCATATGGATAAAGAATGAACAAAAATAAAATTTATCTGCATATATTTATCGTCATGTTCATCGTCCTTATACTTTATCATATTGACGAGTCATGAACAAAATACAAGTAGTTCCCTTGTCATACATAAATGACTAACTCCCTAGGTTAATTAAATTGGAAACTTATTCAAATGCTATAGATCACTCTCGTAATAAATTCGTCCAACCTAACTAGATTATCAAATAAAAACTATTTAGGATTGCATTTCACAAATTTTTAAATGATTTATAAAAAGAAATAGTAATAAGTTACATGGAATATGTTAATATAATGAGTAATAATTATAAGATTGAAATTAATATTTCATAATATAATTTAGAAACCATTTGCAAGGCTAATACTTTACTCAAAATAGTCAAAAGAATGGCATTAGAGACGTACTAAGGTCAAAGGCAGTTATAAACAAGTATAACACCACTCTGAAAATATGGGACGCCACCGTTGTAGTCAACAATCTGTTCTAATTTTATTGCACGGATTAGCATTGAAATTTAGGCACAGTGTCAAAAACCAAACACCCCCGCAATTTGGCTTCCTGTCTTGACCATGTTCATTGTTATGTTAAAAATATAGTTGAGGATGATTATAATTTTTAAAACACAACGAAAAATCAAAAAATTTCGATAAATCACTTCCAGAATCTCTGAACGATAGACGAAGCATTGTGTTAGAAATACATTCACCATGAAACACCATCGTCAAAATAAAATAAGGTTGTTCATTCAATACTCAAAAATCAAAAGCAATCCCTAAAGCGAGATTCTCGAATTGATTAGTTGAAAAAGAAAAATAGGGTGTCCTCCTCTGCACAGAGTGCCACTTGCTTGACAAAGCGACCAGATGCGATCGACTTCTTTATGTCATAAAATTAATTTGCAAAGACTACAAGATAAAATTGCTGCTAAATCCTTCATTCCATTTTGGCTACTTCTCCCCAAAAATTAAATAAATAAATTAGGTGAGCTCTTCGAATGGATAATGAGATTTTCGATTACTTTGATCAAATTTGAAAAAATCTTCCTCACTCGAGAACATTTTTTTATTAAGTGCGTGTTCGGTCGTGCTTAAAATCTAATTAAAATTGAAAATATAACCGTTATTAGGTCTCACTCGTCTAATAAAAGTCAACAGTAACGACTAGTTTTTTTAATTTTAATCCGATTTTAATCTTTACAGAACACGCCCTAAGATCTTCTTGTCTTCCCGTTGAAATTCTCTTGCAAATCGAAACATCTACACTTAAATTACCCAAACTGAAAAACAATTATTATATTATGAGATGATATAATTACTTCACCAATGTAAGCAAAAATTCCATTTTCGTGTGAGGCTGTTGAAACGCGGTTTGAAAGAAAGTGCAAGTGGTGGTCGACCAAATTTAGTGAACACAACTTCAATTTCAATATTTTATTGCCCCTTTGATGGAAAATGTCAACTTTTTGCCGTTCATATTGGAATTGGACCCAAATATTTTCTGCGTAGCATGATTCCGTTCACACTTTTTTTTTTTTTTTGGGATTTTCGTGCCTTCTAGATTTATAAACAAAAATAATATTTTGAATTGGAGTAATAATACTTCATCCATAGTTCCCAAAACATTACCATTTGTTTCACGGGTGATAAGTATCTTCTAGACGTTTGTCCTAAATTGTAAACTTGATATATATTTTTAAGTTAATCAGATTCTTCATTAAAATAATATTACACGTAAATAAAAAACTCTTCTTTCTTTTTTAACCATCCATTCTCCATCAATCAACAATTCCAAAATATATTTTTCAAAAAGAATGGGGCTCAAACACTTATTATAGGTAAAACCAATATTTGGAGGTACATGAAGAAAAAAAAAAGATTTTGGGCTAAACTGGAGGTAGTTTAAAGCAATTGAAGACTAACTCGATGGCTTGGGATTGATGGGAAGCATAAGAGAGCAATTGTAGGAAATTAACAAGTTTCTGGAGTGAAATTCAACTTATGAAAAGTTTGGGGACTGATCGGAACACACTTTTGAAACTTAGGGAGGACCAATCTTGGATGATTATGGAGATTCAGGGACTAATATAGAAGATTTTGGAAGTAGTGGGAGCAATATTGAAGATTTCGACGGAAACCGGCCAAAATATCTTAAGAAACTTGAAGCAATGACCAAGATGCAAAAGAAGAAAGTTAGAGGGTTGGGTGACCCACGGCATGCAAAATTGAGGTCAATAATGGGTCACGAAGAACTATAGTTTGCCGCGGTGTGATCGCGAGATTCAAATTGCGATCGGTCAGTGACTCGTCCGGATTGTTAAGTTTTCGATGTTTAATTTAATTCAAGGTTATCTGTGAACCAAAATCTGGTAGAGTAGAATAATTCTATTATGTTTATGATTTCCTAGGCAGTTTAAGCCTACATAAAGACCTATTTTAGGTCAAATTAGATGAACAATATGCAGGAGGGGAGAATAAAAGAAAAGAGAACATATAGCGATGTTAAAAAAGTTTGCAGCTCGGGCAGCCCGAGCTCGGCCTGAAAAAAGGCCCGAGTTGGGCTGGCTCATTGAAAGTTTGAGAATAATAATGATATGGAAAATTGCTAGGGACATAAGTGTTATAATGAGTAAAGATTAAAAACCTTAAGTACAATTAAAACATAGTGAAAAAAATAAAAATTGTGCTGTAAATATAATTACCCTATAATCAATTCAAAGCTGCATAATCCACTATTTCAGGGGACCTTATGATATGGGTAGACAGAAATACCCCTCAAAATAATGGGTAACATGCATTTCAAGTGATTATTTGATGAAAAGGTAGGAATTTCTTCATTTTGGAGACCTAAATGCAACAAAATAATGAATGGAGACCTAAGTGAAACAAACGGTTATGTTTAAGGACTATGGCTTAGAATTTCTTAATTTAAAATAAATTTGAACATCTAGTAATGTAAATAATTGAATGCTTTCGTGAATCCTATTTATATTAATTTGACAAGCAAATCTCAAAAAAGTCGTAATGCGTAATCGTTTGAGTTTACAATGCAACTGTTCGATATAATGTTCTAATGTCACGCATTGGATTGGGGAAAAATGAATTTAGTTTGTACTTGTGAAAAAAAAAAATATCAATATATAAATTCTCTTATCGTTGAAAGGTGAAATATTTAAGTGAAGTGATTCAATAAAATCTCACTTTCATTGCATCTTAATGCCATAAAAAAGGGAAATTTTCATTGAGTAATGTTATTTATCTCCACTGAGGTTGAACTCCAATCTATATGACAATTACATGATATTACTCTTAAATGATAGATTCATTTAAATACAAAATCACATAACTCATTTAATTGAATCTATCATTTAATGTCACATAGACTGTGACTCAATCTCAGTGGATACGAATAGCATTATTCATTTTCATTGCATCCTAATGCCATAAAGGGGGAATCATGTCAAATGATTGTTAAGAATTATTTTCTGGTACAATTTTTATTTACATTAATTGTTAGCAATAAAAAATTGATTACTTTGCATACTACATCGTTTTCAAGGTGTTCATGACAAAGATTATCAATTAAACATTTAAAACGACTTCCAATATTTCATTTGAAACTTCAATTTATTTGACAAGAAGCAACCACACATGGTACTAATTAGATTTTGCACTTGTTTTTGCAAGCAAATTATTCAGAATATTGTCCAATCGCGAAGTACTAAGTTATTAGACATGGGACAAATCATTTATTTAAAATACCTCCAAAATATCACTTTGCACGTGTGAGTCATTTACAATTTTGAATCAAAAGTTTTATACTTG